GGTGCCACAAGACCCCTCACCATTGCAGGAGCCCACAATGCTGCAAAAGCCCTCCTCGCAGCCGCCACTGCCTCAAGATCTGCCACCGCCACATGAGCCCTTGCCGCCACAAGAGCCACTGCTGCCACACGTGCAGGACATGACATCCTGCACGTGCAGGACGTGACGCAGGCGCTGGAGGTCATGAGCACAACGGTGCGGGCCATGAGCATGCGCTGAAATGCGGTTCACAGAGGCCCAGATGACCTGAGCGGTTCTGGGTTCCCTCAGGAGCCACAATTTCTTCGCTGGCCACCGCTGCTCTATTGAAAATGAAACCAATATATTTAAAAATGCAGAAAACACACAGAACACCAATAAATGATATTCTATTATTCTTTAACAGTGACATTTAAACTGTGATTAACCATGATTATTTTTTAATTTTGTGATTAAATGTGACTAAGTTTTTAAATTATTTGACAGCTCTGGTATATACTTGGCTGAGATTATATCCAAACCACAAGAAGTCAACAAGTCCAGCCCCGCCCCCCCCCATGGAAGGACCAAGAACCATCTCTAGATCATCCCTGATAGATGTCTATCTAACCTGCTCTTAAATATCTCCAATGTTGGAGATTCCACAACGTCCCTAGGCAATTTATTCCAGTTTTTAGCCACCCTGACAGGAAGTTTTTCCTAATGTCCAAGCTAAGCCTCCTTTGTTGCAATTTAAGCCCATTGCTTCTTGTTCTATCATCAGAGGCCAAGGAGAACAATTTTTCTCCTTCCTTAGTGTAATATCCTTTTAGGTACTTGAAAACTGCTACCATGTCCCCTCTCAGTCTTCTCTTTTCTAAACTAAACAAGTCTAATTCTTTCAGTCCTCCCACATAGGTCATATTTTCTAGACTTTTAATCATTTTTATTGCTATTCTCTGGACATTCTCCAATTTCGCCACATCTTTCTTGAAATGTGGTGCTCAGAACTGGACACAATAATCAGCGCAGAGTAGCGCAGAAGAATGACTTCTTGTGTCTTGCTCACAACACTCCTGTTATTGCATCCCAGAAGCATGTTTATTTTTTTGCAACAGAGTCACACTGTTGACTCATATTTAGCCTGTGGTCCACTATAACCCCTAGATCCCTTTCTGCCGTACTCCTTCCCAAGCAGTTTCTTCCCATTCTGTAGGTGTGAAACAGATTGTTCCTTCCTAAGTGGAGCACTTTGCATTTGTCCTTATTAAACTTCATCCTGTTTAACCTCAGACCATGTCTCCAATTTGTCCAGATCATTTTGAATTATTATCCTATCCTGCAAAACACTTGCAACCTGCCCCTCTCCCCAGCTTGGTATCATCTGCAAACTTAATATGAATACTTTCTATGTCACTATCTAAATAGTTGATGAATATATTGAAGAGAACCAGTCCCAGAACTGATCCCTAACCAGTCCCAAAACTGACCCCTCAATTAATATTAACTGTGCACCCAAAACTGATTATTTAATGACTTTCTTCAAATGAAGGGTTTAAAATAAGTCTTTATTTCTGTTTCAATATTTGTTTCTGTTAAGAATTGCATGCAGCAGTATAAATAACACACAAGCATCAAAGACAGACGGATTTGTGTTGTAGTGAATTTAATTAAGAATTGACTCTTCAGGACTAGAATTTGATTTTAAATAGCTGTAAGCTACACAGACTTCAGCAGTGATATTGGAACAATTTTTAGGGTGGGGGATGCTCCCCTTTTTAAGAGCTGATCCCATCTTTTAATTCTGTCTGTGCCCCTCACTGTTCCAGGCTGGGGCCACAGCTGGGGACAGCTGTGGAGGCCAGGGCCAGGAGTGGAACTGCAGAGCCAGCAGCCAGGACACAGGGCAGCAGTGGGGCTGGTGGCCAGCAATTTAGGACTGGTAGCGAAGTCTTTGGGTGAGAGGTTAGCAACTGTGACCCTGGGACCAGCAGTGGTGCCCCTGGGGTGTGGTCCAGTGGCTCGGACACAGGGTGATGTCCAGGATCCCCACCAGGCACAAACCCTGGGGTTGCTGCAGCACTCCCCTGCCTCTCCCTCACATCCCCAATTCCCATGCCTATGGACTGTGGAAGCAGATCTGTTCCTATTGCGTGTATCATGGAGTTTTAGAGCATATGTGTAGGAAAGATAGAAAATATGGCAAAAGACCAGCTTGGCTTAACAAGGAGATCTTGCACGATCTCAAAATAAAAAAGGAGTCATATAAAAAATGGAAACTAGGACAACTAACAAAGGATGAATATAGGCAAGCAACACGGGAATGCAGGGGCAAGATTAGAAAGGCAAAGGCACAAAATGAGATCAAACTAGCTACAGGCATAAAGGGAAACAAGAAGACCTTTTATAAATACATTAAAAGCAAGAGGAAGACCAAGGACAGGGTAGGCCCACTGCTCAGTGAGGAGGGAGAAGCAGTAACAGGAAACTTGGAAATGGCAGAGATGCTCAATGACTTCTTTGTTTCAGTCTGCACCGAGAAGTCTGATGAAGAAATGCCGAACAGTGAATGCTAGTGGGAAGGGGGTAGGTTTAGAAGATAAAATAAAAAAATAAGTTAAAAATCACCTAGAAAAGTTAGATGTCTGCAAGTCACCAGGTCCTGATTAAATGCATCCTAGAATACTCCAGGAGCTGATAGAGGTGGTATCTGAGCCTTTAACTATCATCTTTGGAAAATCATGGAAGACAGGAGAGATTCCAGAAGACTGGAAAAGGGCAAATATTGTACCCATCTATAAAAAGGGGAATAAGAACAACCCAGGAAACTACAGACCGGTCAGTTTAACGTCTGTCCCAGGGAAGATAATGGAGCAGGTAATTAAGGAAATCATATGCAAACACTTGGAAGGTAATAAAGTGATAGGGAATAGCCAGCATGGGTTTGTGAAGAACAAGTCATGCCAAACTAATCTGATAGCTTTCTTTGATAAGATAACGAGCCTTGTGGATAAGGGAGAAGCGGTGGATGTCATATACCTAGACTTTAGTAAGGCATTTGATACGGTCTCGCATGATATTCTTATTGATAAACTAGGCAAATATAACTTAGATAGGGCCACGATAAGGTGGGTGCATAATTGGCTGGATAACCATAGTCAGAGAGTTGTTGTTAACCTCTAAAAATTTGAAATGTAGGTCAGACCCCTTTGGAAATCTTAGATGTACTCTGTGGACCCCCATGTTGTCCACAGATCACAGTTGAAAAATCACCTCTACTCTGTACTAGTTAGGCCTCAGCTGGAGTACTGTGTCCAGTTCTGGGTGCCACATTTCAAGAAAGATGTGGAGAAATTGGAAAGGGTACAGAGAAGAGCGACAAGAATGATTAAAGGTCTAGAGAGCATGACCTATGAAGCCAGGCTTCATGAACTGGGCTTGTTTAGTTTGGAAAAACGAAGATTAAGGGGGGACATGATAGTGGTTTTCAAATATCTAAAAGGGTGTCACAAGGAGGAAGGCGAAAATTTGTTCCTCTTGGTTTCTGAGGACAGGACAAGGAGTAATGGGCTTAAAGTGCAGCAGGGGAGGTTTAGATTGGACATTAGGAAAAAATTCCTAACTGTCAGGGTGGTCAAATATTGGAATAAATTGCCAAGGGAGGTGGCGGAATCTCCCTCTCTGGAGATATTTAAGAACAGGTTAGATAGACATCTGTAGGGGATGGTGTAGACGGAGCTTGGTCCTGCCTTGAGGGCGGGGGGCTGGACTCGATGACCTTTCGAAGTCCCTTCCAGTCCTATTATTCTATGATTCTATGATATGACTATTCATCTGAACAGGCTATTAGCATGATGATTCCCTCATTCTAATTTGTTACTTCCATTTTCTGCTTTTAGATTCCATATTCCAATGTAGAAGCTCTACTCCAGCACCTAGATCAAAGAACAGCTCTTCCATTCAGATGGGAACACAGGGACATCTACTGACAAAATAGCATTACTAGGTCAGGATTTCACAGCTGAGCCAAAGACAGGTCATTTTTAGAAGTAACCCCAGTTCTCTGGGTTTTCCCAGGATAATATGCACTATTAAAAATGAAAACAAACAAAAAGTTCAGACAAATTTAAAAAAACACAGAGCTGCAAAGCAGCTTGGGGGGAAGGAATGGAGGATATGAAAGACAAAAACAAATCAGGGGACACTAAAATTATAGAACACAGAAAGCTGAGAGACTTTGTCATCCTCATTTCCATGTATTTGTTTTTGAGATTGTGTTGAGATTTCCTTAAAATATTTAATCAATTGTTATCTCGAGTTTAATAAAGGTCTAAAAATAAAGTATTAATAAATATAAATGGCATTTTTCCATTTCCGCTAACTCAACTTTCAAAGTCAGATAGTTTAACATATGAGAGTATAATACAGAGGTGGGCAAGAGGGCCTTTGTGGGCCGAATCCGACCTGCCAAGCAGATTGATCCGGCCCACAGAGGCCTTGCTGCTCCCCCGCCCCCAGGCCAATGCTTCCTCCCGCCCTGCCAGGAGCACGCAGTGCTTTGCAGCGACATGCACTCCTCGCAGGGCGGGAGGAGATGTCACAAAGTTCCCTCCACCCGCCTCCCCACCCTGTGAGGAGCATGCAGCACTTCAAAGTGCCGTGCGCTTGCAGGGGTGGGGGTAGGGCGAAGGAAGTTTCACACAGCTCCCCTGTCCCCAGCCTCTGGCACGGGAGCACGCAAAACCTCCTTCCACCCTGCGAGGAGCGCATGGAACTGTGAAGTGATGCATGCTCCTCGTAGAGTGGGGGTAGGGCGGCTCCTGCCGCCCCCAACTTCCTTCACCCGAAGGCTTCGCACGCTCCCCTGCTCCCAGGCCCTGACTGCCCTGGGGATGGGGGAGAGTGAAGCCTCTTCCTGCCCTGCCAGGGGCATAGGTGCCTAGTGGGAAGGACGGGGGCAAAGGGGCTCCCCCCAGCACCAGATCAATCATGGTCTATGGGTGGGGAAACCCAGAAGCATCCTGGCCCCGCCCCTTCCAGCTTAGGCCCCACCCCTTCCATGACAGCCCGGGATCACTTCAAAAAATTTTTGAAGTGGCCCCTGGCCAAAAATTATTGCCCATCCTGGTATAATATTTACAAGATGCATATTCAGAACAGCTCACCTCAGCTGTAAATCTGCAAACTGACACATCTCATGTTTCATTTTTATTTGTTTCATATTCTCCAATGTGAAATTGGAAAAAAATACTTCAATCTCTTGAAAAAGATATCAGCTATGAGTAGGATTAAACTTGGCAGCCAGAACTTTTCATACTACCTGTACATTGCACAGTGGATAACATTTACAAAAATATCTCTCTGTCTTAGTTCTTTGGACTGAATGATGCCCAACTGAACTGCTTTCTTTGTCTTGGCAACACTAAATCTAATGACAAATCTTTTTGTTCTCTCTCAGAATCCAGAAGTTTATAGCCAAGCATATTTATAGCACCTCTGCAAACTTCTTGTACTTTCTTGATTTTCTGGAAGGAAAGAATATTCCTCCAGGCCTGGGAAACGTTAACTGCATCTCGGGAGGTGATTTTGAAGGCTTCCTTTTTCTTTCCTGCTCCTTGGCCATGTGTGATATTATATATCCAGCTTTCAAGTTTGGGGGTCAGTCTAAGGTCTGCAAATTTATACATGTCCCTGATTTCTGATAAGGGATCTCGTACCAGATCTTCAAAACGGATCATCAAATAGCGATCTTTTAGAAATCTTGGAGATTTCTGAGTAGCTGTTTCATAAATCTGGACATGACTTCTACAAACTTCCTGCATTACTTTAAATTTGCTGTCCTCCACTTTAGTACCATTCATGCTCAGAACAATCCCATTGTCACGCGCTAAGGCTTTTACTGACTGTTCTCGTGACTTGGCAACAGCCCTGGGGTCACGCACTAAGTGAATGACTTTGAGGTTCAGGGAAGCGTCAGTGAGAAGGGGATAGAGAACGGTCAGATCGAAGAACCGGACCTCCTTGACAACAACGTGGCTGTATGTCTTGCAAGCCTCCTCCACCTTGCTGAACGGGTACTTGCCACAAAGGGTCTTGCAAGCCATTTCATTGGTGATGTCAGTGCGCTGAAAGGAATCACAGGCAGGGGCTGAACAGAGTGCCCGACTCACTGCCCACTGGAAGAGATCAGACAAGTTTCTCTTCCAAGGCATGTAGGCATCGAACACAGACATGTCACACTTGAACACAGACCTGACTAGGTCTCTAACAGACATCTGTAACACTTTGGCACTGTTCTGGTACATCGTCACCCACACGTGCCAGGCAGGCTCCATCAGGTAGAAGACATCCGGGTGCTGGCTGAAGAGCTGGCCAACAAAGGAAGATCCTGACCTCCAGGAAGACAGAATGAGGATGTGCACCTGAGATGGCTTCTCTTCAGATCGAGGCAGGAAGTTGTTATGTTGCGCATACATAAACAATAAGAATCCAGTCTGAATCATGAGGAAAACCACAACAATGGTGCTGGAAATCCGCAGTCTCACCATGCTGGTTGAAGGAAAGCAACTATTATCCTGAAAAGGGAGAGGAAAAGGCTGTTTAGTATTTGGTAACAGCTGCAGTAGCATAATGGCACAATGCACAGCCGACTGTACTGTTCAGACTTTTCTTATCCGTAAGTATAGCTTGTGGAGTCTGCAGGGTGGATCCATCAGCAAGAGAGCTGAGAAAGGCTGTAAATAGAATGGGGAGCAGGCAGTGCAAGATTAAGCACAAAACTGCCAACAGAACTGCCAGACCCCTGAGCAAGGAGGTGGAAGAGAGGGCTCTACAACCCAGAAGGGGCAGGGCCTCGGGAGGAAGGACAGGGCTGAAGGCTCTTCTCCTCCAGCCAGCCCCTCAAATGATATTAGAGGTGGGGAAGGGTAGATGTCTGTGAGTTAATAGTATTAGAGGTGTGACAGTGGCCAATGCCAGGTGCCCTAGAGGGAGTGAATCGAACAGGTAATGATCAAGCGATCTCTCTCCTGCCATCCATCTCCACCCTCTGACAAACAGAGGCTAGGGACACCATTCCTTACCCATACTGGCTAATAGCCATTTATGGACCTAACCTCCATGAATTTATCTAGTTCTCTTTTAAACCCTGTTATAACTCCTAGCCTTCACAACCTCCTCAGGCAAGGAGTTCCACAGATTTACTATGCATTGTATGAAGAAGAACTTCCTTTTATTTGTTTTAAACCTGCTGCCCATCTGGTGGCCCCTAGTTCTTATATTATGGGTACAAGTAAATAACTTTTCCTTATTTACTTTCTCCACACCACTCATGATTTTATATACCTCTATCGTATCCTCCCTTAGTCTCCTCTTTTCCAAGCTGAAAAGTCCCAGTCTCTTTAATCTCTCCTTATATAGGACCCGTTCCTAATCGTTTTAGTTGCACTTCTCTGAACCTTTTCTAATGCCAGTATCTCTTTATTGAGATGAGGAGACCACATCTGTACGCAGTATTCCAGATGTGAGCGTACTATGCGGAGCCATCCCTGTCCAGGGACTGGCTGACCCAAGGGGCTCCTGTCCCCGCGGTCTGCGTGACTGGAATCTGTACTATCGCAGCCGCACCGCATCTTGGATAAAATCCTTGGAGTGAACGCAAGGGCGATTGAGGCAGTAGCCTGTGGGCTTCTTTTGTGTGTTGCACTGGGCACCGCTCTGATGAACCCAGATTTCCTCCTTGTGTGATTGGTGTGTGAAGCCCTCCTGTATGGGTAACCAGACGTCTAAGCGGGGGGCAGTTCCCTCAAGGGACCCCGGCTCAGCTTATATATTTTAGACCCCTGTAAACTTCTGGAAAAATGATCTAGATTGACTCTGGGGGATCCCAAAACTCAGTGGCCACTGTTAGGATCTTGGAACAAAGACCAAGTGGACGTCTTAAAAGACAAACTTGGCCGTCCCAAAACTAAATTGGCTAGAGGAGAGGTAGATTGCTTCATGCAGTGGTGGGCCGAGGCAAATCTTAGATGGACTGAATCGAAGTTCGCCTCCCTTAAAAATTCTAATTATAAGTAAAAAGCTTTATTGGAAACCTCCTCTCCCACCACCAGACCAAGCGCTTCCCTTTACCCCGTCCTCCGAGAAGACTCAGACCTGTCCCACTTGGAGCTATAAAGCCTGGACCCACACGGAGCTCCACTCAATTGTAAAAGGTTTTCCAGAGCCCCAGGAAAACCCTACCAAATTTGCAGAGGAATTTTTGCTAGTGTGCAATGCCTATGAATCCTCTGAAGCAGACCTCCTGCAACTGCGTAAGCTACTTATAACCCCTAGCGAGCAAGAAAAAAAAATGGCTCCTGATAGCAAATTGGCCCACCACTGAGCGTCCTTCTAATTTGCCAGACACTGGTCCTGACGCTGCCTACTGGAACAAATGTAAGAATCAAGTTGCCTTTCACCATTGTATAACAAGGTCTGTAATTAACTTGGAAACAATGTAACAAGGGTTGTCTAAATTCTCTATCACTAGTAAATCAAGATTGGAAATTTTTCTAAAAGATGCTGTAAATCAAGCTAAGCCCCTGCATGAGGCCATTCCCCAAGTATGGACTCCAAAAAAAATCAACGGGACGGCCATACGTTGCTGTAAACGGCAACAGAGAGAGTTGCTTATCAGGCTTCCTGCTTCTGACGTACTTAAAAAACATTTTGTTATTACCTTTGGAGTTTTTGGCTAGCTGTTCTTCAAACTCCTTTTGGGCTTCTCTTAATACATTTTTACACTTAATTTGGCAGCATTTATGCTCCTTACTATTTACCTCACTAGGATTTGACTTCCACTTTTTAAAAGATGCCTTTTTATCTCTCACTACTTCTTTTACATGATGGTTAAGCCATGGTGGCTCTTTTTTAGTTCTTCTATGTTTTTTAATTTGGGGTATACATTTAAGTTGGGCCTCCATTATGGTATCTTTGAAAAGTGTCCATGCAGCTTGCAGGGATTTTATTTTAGTCACTCTACCTTTTAATTTCTGTTTAACTAACCTCCTCATTTTTGCATAGTTCCCCTTTTTGAAATTAAATGCCACAGTATTAGGCGTCTGAGGTGTTCTTCTCACCACAGGAAAGTTAAATGTTATTATATTATGGTCACAATTTCCAAATTGGACCAAATCCTGCGTGCTACTCAGGACTAAATTGAGAATTGCCTCTCCCCTCGTGAATTCCTGTACCAGCTAGTCCAAGAAACAGTCATTTAAGTTATCAAGAAATTTTGTCTCTGCATCTTGTCCTGAGGTGACATGTACCTGGTCGATATGAGGATAGTTGAAATCCCCTACTATTATTGAGTTCTTTATTTTGCTAGCCCCTCTAATTTCCCTTAGCATTTCATAGTCACTATTACTATGCTGGTCAGGTGGCCAATAATAGATCCCTTCCGTTATATTCTTAATAGAGCAGGGAATTACTATCTATAGTGATTCTATGGAACATGTTGATTCATTTAAGATTTTTAATTCATTTGATTCTAAATTTTCTTTCACATATAGTGCCACTCCCCCACCCGCATGACCTGTTCTGTCCTTCTGATATATTTTGTACCCTGGAACGATTGTGTCCCATTGATTGTTCTCACTCCACCCAGAGAGAGTCAACCAGGACTCCAGTTGCAATTTAAAGGACTTGGGGCAATAGTGGCAGCAGCAGCTGATAGGCTTGAGCCCTTTTACCTTGCCAGGCCCCAGGACAGCTGTTCCCCCCATTGGTGGGCCTGAGTACAGAGTAGAAGAAAATTTGGAGTGGGTGTCTGATGCTGCAGAGAGTAAGCTGCTCAACTTTTAGGAAAATGCATTATGCAAAATACTTTGTGTGAGGTATCATTTGAAAAGTGTAATCTTCTGAGTATGGTTTTCCCATTTGTGTGCATAAATCATTCCGGAATTTGAAGTTATAAACCTGTTTTATTAATAGTGACATGCTAAGTGAGGGCCATTAAGGGTATTTCAGAAACATGTTGGCCCACTGATAAGGTCAATGATCTGTAAACGTTTTCCCTCCCTATGGACCATAGGAGGGAGTGAGAATCCCCACAAAGATTAGGGTTGTCAGATGGTTTAACCCAAAATACCGAATTCCCCTCCCCCCCAAAAAAACCCCAAAACACCAGGGAAAATTCTGTCGAGAGAAAAAAAGGGGGAGATTAAAGTTGTTGAGAAAAAAAAAGGACCCCGAGAGTTATAAAGCAAAAAAATAAAATTAAATTAAAAAAACCGAGAATGGCCCCTTTAAGAAATGCTTTTGAGGCTTTTTTGCCCTAACAGCCTGCCCGCAGCCGTCCGCCATCTTGTCCTCCTGCTCTGGGCCAGACAGCTCCCCTATGGAACCAGGTAAGCACCCAGTATTTTCTCCTCCTGGCCAGGAAAAAATCAGGAAATACCAGACATTTAAAGCAAAAATATTGGACTGTTCGGGTCAATACTGGACACCTGGCAACCCTAACAAAGATTTGTGTGTAGGTCACCTGATGCTGGGACCCATCTTGAATGTTGTACTTGTCCACTGAAAGTGAGAAAAAGTTTAAACTGACCAGAAAAAATTCCCACCTTTGACAAAAATCTATACACAGGTGGGAAGTCAAACAACAGGGGCGGCTGACAGACATCAGCACACCTTGCTGACCACCAGTGTTCCCTCTGTGCTGGACAGCACAGCTTCACAGGTGCACAGAGCCCTGAGCCTCTGACTGGGCGAGGCTGATTAATCACCTGTGAAGCTATGCTGACATGCAACTGGGTGGGAACACTGCTGACCATCCAAGATGACTGCTGAAAATATCTAAGAGTGAACCGGGGAAGGATCAAGGCCAGACTTGGAGGCTTTGCAGTCTGTGAAAGAAGATAACTAGAACTACTCTTAGAGCAAGGTATTGTATATCACAAGTTTCTTAATGAATTAGGCGTGTTTTGTTTTCTATTGCTTAGTAGCGTACTTTGTTCTGTGTGCTATTACTTACAACCACTTAAATCTTATTTTTTATACTTTATAAATTCACTTTTGTTTATTAATAAACCCAATGTACATAATTGTTACCGGGGAGAGGAAAAGCTGCTGTGTATATCCTTCTTTAGGTAAGAAAGAAGGCAGACAATACAAGCTTGCTCTGCACAAAACTTTATACAGAGTCAAATGGCTTTATCTGGGGTTCAGGTCCCACTGGGGCTGTGGAAAATCTCTTTTAACTCAGCCTTCCCAGAGTTGTGCTGGTGTCAGCGTCTGAATTACTCTGCATAGGGCTGTGACCCCATCTCTGTGTCAGTGTTGGAAGAGACCTGAGGGCCTAGTTCAGCCAGACAGATAAGGTGCCCAGGAAGACATGAGCTCAGCTCAGTGGTAGTTCAGCACATCAAGTGATAGTCACAAAGGGAACTCTATGACCAAACCCGTCATAATCTCAAACTACGGTCAGAAGCACACAATTATGGAATGGCAGCATGCCCCAAGCTGGGGTGGGAAGCCCAGCAGACGTTTACATTAAGTTAGACAGGACTTTAACAACACATGATGTTGTTGCAAGTGGTTTAATTTATATGAAATATGGCTCATCTATCAAATTGCTTCCTCGTCTTCCTATTAGTTATAGTTCAATTTATGTCTTGCAGTATGAGGTACTGTAGATCTTAAAAATGGGGATGTTCTCACTCATGTCTAAAACACAGGAGAGCCCAGGCTACGTCTAGACTGCAGGCTTCTTTCAGAAGAAGCTTTTCCAGAAGAAAAAACGTCTTCCGAAAGCGCTTCCACACTTCCAAAGGGCATCGAAGAAGTGATCTGCTTTTTCGAAAGATAGCATCCACACTGAACGGACGCTATCTAGCATTTAAACTGTGATTAC